GGTATAGGATAGAGATAGGATCGGATTAGCCATAGCACCGGGGGCAACGTCCGTGTAATACATGCCAGAGTATTCCGCATCAATACAGAGAAGCAGTAGCTCTTCATCCAGTCTGGCCATCTTCCATGATGCCACCACCACAGGGTCAACACAGGTCAGTTTCTTTCAACATGCATCAGCCACCAAATCTTGGTATGCGTTCACAAGCATCCATCAATGAAAATGCATGGAAACTCAACTTTAACGGGATGCAGAAATGTGGGTATAATCCAGAATTCTCACTTGGGTGCAAACATGCTACTACTTCTGGGTTAAATATATAGGGTTTAAAAGAAATTGTTGGTAAAAGCATTTTTTTGCTAAGTAGTGAGCAGGTTCATTGTAAGCTGAGATTAAATGTATTTTACTCTTTTTTATTTGTAATAAGTTTCATCATTACTAGAAAGAATCCTGGTTTTGTTGAATTCTTCATCAGTTTCCATAGTTTTAAGTCGAATGAACATATATATAGATTTTTTTTCCTTATTTTTCTTTCGTAAATTAAATTTATTTTTGTAATAGATTATTGAAAAATCTTTTCAACACCAGACATAGACAATAGTATGAGTATTATTTTTCTCACCACGCAATATCGGTAAAAAATTGTCTGCGAGTAGGAAATACAAACAGTTATGCTATTTTTATAACTATTTTTCCCAATTCAGAAATGGATTTAACTTTTGTTTTTCTTGCAAAAATCTGCAAATGCTATCAGTTGTTACCCAAATTAAAAATCGCGTTATCACTAGGCACTATGTTGTAATTAGAATTTGTACTAGTGATTTGGCCCGCACCCTGTGTGGACTCGACATGTTATTTTATATGTTTTCATTAGTATGTTGTTGTTTTTTTTGTATAAAGTTTATAAGTATGTTTCTGCTATGACATGATTGTTATTGTTGTAATTTGATAATTCTATTTACTTTCAAAATACATCTATAGCTCGTGGAGTTTCTGATTTAAAATGTATTTGACGTTTTTTTATACTTTGGTAGTTATACTCTTGTCTGCTAGTGTTCAATAGCTGCAGAAAAAAATTAAAATTTGTAATGGTATAGGTTTTTTCAGCCTTAACATTACTCTTTGATAGTACTTTCCTTGTAAAGATTATATATTAAATTTGTTTGTTCAAATAAATAGCATTCATTCGTAAGTTCTAATCAATGTCTGTTAAACAAATAAGTATGTAAAAGAATGCAACGAATGACTTTAATTCAGAAATCAATATAAAAGTTATAAGTATCTCGAAGCAGAAATCGCTATATAATGAAAACAAAAAGGATGTTTTTCAAGTTTTTGTAAACCTGTTGATTAAGCACTAAATTTTAGAATAAACTTTCTTGTAGACAATATTCATTGTTTTCTTTTGCGGTACTCCTTTCTTGTCGGTAATAAGTATTTTTAAACATTTTCTAGTTACTCTTGAAACTGACCGTGAGAGAATACAAGTTCGAGTAGATACAACCCAACTCTCTCAAGCGTTTGACCTTGACTCTTGTTAAAAGTTATTGCAAAAGCAAGTAATATGGGAGCTGTCTACGATGGATACGGAAGGGAAAGTGTGCGTCTACCGGTGTTACAAACATCTTTGGTATTAACATACGCTCATCAACGTTATTGTCGTCATTTCTGTAATCACCCTAGCCTCGATAACATGATTTGCCAACTTAGTCAGTATCACTCTTGTACCATTTCACAATCCACTCTTATGATCAATGTTTCGTAGTAACATTATAGGAGCTCCCACCTTTAATAATAGTTCGTGATTAGGCATACCTGAAATCTTATTGCTATTCAAAAACCCTTGCGTATATACGATATCATCAACATCACTTGTGTCCGAAGGTTCAATACTACATGCACTTAGATATCTTTTTTTCTTAACCTGAATATTAAACAATTTCAAATATTAGTTATATATAACAAAATATTAATTTTAGTACCATTATTAATAATCATTCTCTATATAATTTAAAATATGAATGTATGAACGTTTAAGGTGAATATCATTCGTGACTAAATCCCTATTATTGTTTAAATATGTTTTCATATTTTGAATTTATTGGCCAAATGAATGACATTAAAATTGTGTTAAAAGTTTGAAAAATACCTGGTAACTTTGATCGCATATATTGGTTTATGATCTCCACATATTCCTAGAACTTACTATAGCTCTATTTCTGAAGAACTGTGCATCCGTATTGGTGGGAAACCCAATCACCGTAAATCCCCCAAACAATCGATCATACAAGATCATCGCAATAAAAAATTAGCAAATCTTCTTGTATCTCAATTTTGACTTCTCCAGTATTAGGCTCGTTTATTTTTCTGTCACCAATATCCAATATCCACTTTGAGAATGCCTTAAGATCTTCAGCATCGTCACCAGTCAGACCTGCGTGCAATCTCATATTTTTTGTAAGTTGTAAAACTTTACACTTGCGCCAAAGCGCTGATGAATTTGGAGTGGCCATCGCAGTTTGAAACCTTGTCGCATATGGTATTACTGGCAAAACCTGCCTAAAATCACTGCTAAAAACAATCACCTTATCACCAAATGGTTACTACCAAATGGTTACTGATAGTTTAATATATCACACATGCTTCCATGCAATGTTTCGAAGGACAAAATTGCTCATCATGGGGTCTTATCCCATATTATAAGCTGAACATCTTTAATTGATTCCGCCAAACGCGAACCACACTTTCATCGAGAATGTGGTATGGTCATTAAGATTTATAGGAATGCCAAATCTAGAATGTGCCGTTCTACCACCTTGCAATAGCAGTGATGCAATCCCACTAGACGCTACATTTAGAACTACTTCAATTTTTGATCTCAAAGCAGCTCCTAGAACACTCCAGAGACAAAACATAAACCTTTCTCTGCTTGTTCGATGTTCTGACTTTCCTTCTCTCTTCAATATACTGCAAGGCAAGATCAATGTTCTTTCTACATCTCTTATCATAGGATTCTCATTGTATGTACTTGCATGCTCACTTGCCAAGTCTTACTATATTTGAGTATTTCCAAAATTTGTTTGGTTGCTAATTAAATCAATCACATTCAGGGAAGAATTAAGGTTGATTCCATTTTCTAAACCAGACCCATTTATTGTGATAGATAAATACATATTTGGTAATTTACAAACAAAAGAAATGAAAATTGTCGTAAGAAAAAAGGAAGAAGAAATGAAATCTCTATCCCACTACAAGACATGTTTGAACCACACAAAAACTCAAGCGTAATTTGATCGTGTGTGATCAAACTAACATCTTTTTTATTTTTTTCTTTTACATTTGATCTATATTGTGTGGTATCAACCAATGTTCTATTTGTTTTACAAAGACCGATATGAGTCTCTTCCAAAATTTCATTCTACATTTCATAATTCTTATTGCAAAAGTTCACGAAATCCTTTTTTGTTTGTCATTCATTTTAATTTCTAGGCTGAGCTCAAAATTTCTCGAAAAATTTGTTGTAACATTATGGAGGCAAAGCTACAACTCTTCTTTGTATCATGACATGTTTGCATAATCTTGGCTATGAAGAGGTAATTTCCGAGAGCGATTCAAAGATATTGGTGAAAGCGGTATAAGCTGAACCTCGAGTATGGTCAAGGTTTATAGTCTATACCAGAGAAATCAACAAGACAAGAAAAATATTAATTCGACCAACCATCACTCACTTTCCAAGGAAGACGAGCCAACTAATGTGTTGATCTTACAGCCAATAAAACCTCTTCATATGAAGCTCATTATG